CCTTTTTTTTTTTTTTTGGTAAATGTTAAGAAGACCCCTTTCAAATTTTGACAAATATATGCTTATTCGATGCATTTTTGCATGAAATGAAAGAATCTGGCAGAAAAAAGTGTTGCTTCACAAACCGAGAAATTAAGGGCTGCGCACAATAGGAGAAATATTAGGAACAGATATTAAATGTAAGAATTTTAACCTATCAGAACTGTGTACTGTGGAATGTGCGCTTTCTAACAGGTTAAAATTATTATATTTAATATCTGTTCCTAATATTTTTCCTATTGTGCGTAGACCCTAATCGTTAAAGTTGACGACTATTTAGGTTAGGTAATCTGTCAGCCACGAAATACTGCGGTGCGACCATGCGCTGCTATCACATTTTCATGTTCTATAGTCACTCATGCATACGTTTTAGCTACTTCTTGTTGTATAAAGCACGAAAAAAAAATTTTTTTAATTACAAACACAAAATTGGTACTTTAAAAACAAATTCTCTGTTAAAAATACAAATTCAGTGCTTTAAAACAAATTTTGTATTTTAAAACAGAGAATTTGTGTTTAAAGTACTTATTCTTTAGGTTCATACATCAGAAAATTTCTTTTTAAAGTACCGATTCTTTATGTTTGTAAATCAGAGAATTTGTTTTTGAAGTACTCATTCTTTGTGTTTATAGATCAGAATTTGTTGGGGAACAGAGAATTTGTGTAATTAGAGCAGAGAATTATTTTTAGGAACTAATTGATATTGACCATGTAACCACAGTACATTTTATAAAACAAAGATATTTCTTTTATACTTAAGAAGAATATATAAATATATTTATTATAAAAAATTTTTGAAATATATATCATTATAAATGCATGTTTTAACTTGTAATAAAATATATGAAATATATTAAAACAAGCAACGTATGCTTGCACTGCAGTATTGCGTGACTATGATAGATTTCCTGACTTATACAGGGCACCTTCCAACAAGCAACACAGATATCAGTATATCCTTGTTATTCGCCAATGATAAGATGATCATTAAACAAGGATAAGATGATCATTGTGTTGTACTGTGTCTCTTGTTGGGAGGCAACACATAGTTCTCAATTTTAATGCTTAATATCTCAGTTTGCGAGATAGAGCGACACTTTTTTCTGTCTGATTTTTTCATTTCATGCAAAATCATAACGATTAGATATATTTTTATCAAAATTTAAGTGAAGGAGATCTTCTTAATATTTATCAATTTTTTATTTAGTATTTTTCGAGTTACAAGACCTAAAAGTTATATAATACTGTTCAACTGGTGATTCAAACCTCTTGAATGTTGTTCAGGATTAAATCCTGAATAACATTTGTTAAGATCAAAGCCATTGAAAGTTATTCTTATTATTTTTATTTTTGCACGAAATATTCCTTTTTACATAAAAGTGAAAATTATAAGAACAAACTTCAATGACCTTGATTTTAAAAAATGGTTTTCAGGATATGACCCTGTGAATAGCATTCAAAAGGTTTTATAGTCATCTGTCGGATACTTTGGATAATAATAATGATTATGACGGTATTGTAACTTTCTCAGGTCTTATAACTCAAAAGTATTTAATAAAAAATATTTTATTACAGTTATTTGGAAAGGTCTTGATGTGAGCTACAAGAATGTGCAATGAAGAATAAGGTTTTGTTAAAAGAAAATTAGTAAATACACCATGTTATAAACACTACAACTTTTGTCTGAAACATTTTTTTACAGATACTTTGTGTTTTAGATACTTGATCGTTTTCGAATTTTTTGAAGACTCTGTATACATATATTTACACTTGTTTTATCATCTGTTTATGAATTTTCTGGTAGATACATATCATATGTAGCGATAGCAAAGTCAATTTTACAATGACACGATAACAGTAGATGTAGTTAAATAAATTAATTTTGAAGTTTACTTGTAAAAATTATTAGAAATATCTTGTGCAACATAAGTATAAAACTGAAGAAACGTATATATAGTGAAACGATTATGGAATGTAAAGCAAATAAGGAAAACGTCAGCATGGATATGGTTAAAAAAGTTGCAATGGAAGTGCAACTTGAAAAATCGGCTGTTGATGACAGCCTAGCTGTTCATGGAAACAGTAATGTAGCATCAGTGATAATAGAAGAATTGGATGAAAGTGCTATCAGTTCAATGGATATGGATATAAATGAATTTGTTGAAGCAAAGGCATTATATATAAGAGATGTAACAGATGTTATTCCAAATTCTACGTTTTCTCTGCCATGTAATTTCAACAAGGATAACGTGGATATGGAAGATCAGGATATGCTGTTAACTATCGACGAGGAAGATCAGTTAACAAAACAGTTTTTAAATGGCGAGTTAACGTTCAGTGAATATTCATATAGAATGGATCAGGATACAGATTTAGAGATGATAGAAAATGATACTCCCAGGTATGAGTTTTATATAAAATATATAATATTTTAATTATTTTTGTATTCATGAAGGACAATTCTGTTTGTGATGCTATTTTTAGAGTAACAATTGGAATTGATCATGTTACTGTTGAAAAGATAGAACAAAAGCAGCATAAAACAAGTAACATGCGTCAAAAAAAGAGAAGGCGTGTTTTACCACCAGTTTTGCAAGGACTTATGGGAGAGGCAAATTTAAGATTTGCAAAAGGTGAGGTAGATTTAGCAGCTCAAATATGCATGGAAATCATTAGGTAAGTTCTCTTAATACATCACATTAGCATATATGTATAACGTTTACTTAAAATTTTTACATAATAAAAATAAAATCCTCTCTTTTTAACATTTGTTAATTATTTTTTAGACAAGTACCAAGCGCTCCAGAACCATTTCAGACGTTAGCTATGATATATGAAAATGATCAACCAGAAAAGTCATTGCAATTTGCTTTAATTGCTGCGCATCTTAGTCCTAAAGATGCTGATCAGTGGGTAAGATTGGCTAATTTGTCATTGGAAAGTGGTGATATAAAGCAAGCGATAACGTGTTACTCTAAAGCGATTCAAGCCAGTCCAAAGGACATAAGTTTATATGAGACACGAGCGCAGCTTCAAGAACAAAATGGAGATAAAAAAGCGTACCTACGAGGATATACAAAACTGATTCATCAATTGGAAGCCGAAGATGGTGAATATATAATAAAATACGCAAAAATATTAGCCAAACGTTATATGCAAGAAGATAACAACGAACAAGCATTAGAAGCAGTGGAGACTATCTTTGCCAAATGTCCTGATCTCATTACATTAGAAGAAGTTAATATCATGACTGAATTATTAATAGCACTAAAGCAATTTCAGAGATGTTTAGATATATTGGTAAAATATACGAATATTCAGATACGATATAAAAAGAATGAGGAAAAAGAAAAAAGCATAGCAGTCAATGACACCAAGTCCGACAAGGAACAAGGGTGTAGTAATATGAAAGGAAAAGCTACATCTTCATCAAGAAGCCAAAATAGTAACGAGATAGAATCTTGCGATATACCAGATAATGTGGTTGTTGACTTGAAAGCAAAATTTCTTATCATTCTCATCGAATTGGATTACATTTTCATAGCTGAAAAACTGTTACCAGACTTTTACACGCGCGAAAATCCAGAGATTTCGGGAGATCTCTTTTTAGATGTAGCGGAAGCACTAATGGGCAAGAAAGAATTTCATCGCGCCATGATTTTGTTGGATCCATTAGTCAAAAGCTCGAATTTTAGTTTGGCTGCAGTTTGGCTAAGACATGCGGAATGTTGGGTTGGTTGTAATGATATAGATAAAGCTACAGAATCTTACGAAGCTGTTCGAAAATTGTCACCACAGCATTTAGGCGCAAGATTAGCTCTAGCTAAACTTTATAAAAAGTCGGAACGTTACGATAAGGCAATACAAGTTCTTTACCAAGATCCTGAATCTGATACATTAGATTCTGACGTTCTGTATCAAAGAACACTATTACTTTTTAAAGTTGGGAGATACGAGGAATACTTTTCCTCGGGAATGTTACTTTTCTCAAGACATTGTGTTAATATAAGAAGAAAAGTTGAATTAAATGCATTAGCACGTGCAACAGGTGTTCGACAACGGCTTGATAGCCTCCAATTACGTCGTTTATCATGTGGAGAAAAGTTGGAAGATGAAAATGCGCCAGTGTTCACTACTAACACAAGACCGAGCGAAAAAAATGAATTTCTACTTTTCCTACAAATGTGTAAACTATCATATAAATTAAACAAGTATGGTTTTCTTCAAAGATTATGTTTTACAGCTCTAACATCAAAGAGATTTAAAAATAGAGACTCTCATATTATCTTTTTGTGTTTGGTTTCTTGCATTCATAATAAGGATTCTTTTTACGGTTACAATATTGTCCGAGAATTCGTACGTGTCTGTCAAAGATCCAATTCGTGGAATTTGTTAAATATAATTATTCAAAGAGCAGAAGATTTGAGACACAACAGATTTATAATGCGATTACTTGGAAGAGACATATTTTCATATTTGCATATTATGCATGCAAACAACTGTCTTGTTTCGGGAACTTACAAATATGCTCTAAATGGTTATATGTCTCTCTTTAAAGTAACACCTAGTGCATTGTTAGCATTGTTAATAGGCGTGACGCAATTACAAATGGCATGTCAAAAGATGTCAGCTAAGAAGAATCAGCTAGTAATTCAAGGTATGTTTTCTATATATATGCATTGTATTATACATATACAGGATGAGAGACATCTAAAACAGGTCATCTAAATAACTCGCTCGTTTATGATGATACAAAAAAATGTTTCAGATAAAGGTGAAACAGTTTTGAGACGGACGTGTTTTGGTCACGTTGTTTTTTGTTTAAATGTAAGCACCAAAAAGATATGAGGGGTTATCTCCACTTTTTAAATAGACTTGCGTGGCTTTGTTTATACAGAGTGTTCAAGAAGTAATGAAAAATTTTGTTGCAGCGGTCAAATCAAAACGATTAACGCGTACCGGCGCGCCTCGCTGGGTGGTCCTATTCAGCTGTACGCTTGCATTTGTGCAGTGGGTCGGGCGAATTTGAATATTTTTATAAATTAATATCTCGTTAACTATTGCGAAAATTGTAAAATGGTACAGGACTTTTCTTCTCAGTTTAGTCCATTCTACCCCTATGTGACAAAATTTTTCACTATTTCTCAAACACCCTGTATAATATGATTTCTTTAACGAATGTACAATAAAAGTATGAAGGTACAAATATAAAAAAAAAAACAAATAGTTTATGAGATATTTAATATTTTACACTGCCGGAAATTGAATTCCCAACACCATGATGGAGTTGTGTTAGATCAGGCCGATCCAAAACTCAACTCACAAGCCAAAATTTGGATAGGTCTGTGCTAGATGAATGAAAGTTACACCGAATGTTTTCTTTCAGGCACGTAAATAAACAATATTCAATTCTAAAGACCATCAATGTAACAACATAACTAATACGAATACGAAACCTATAACAGTCTAGCTTGGATCTTAGTTGCTTATATATAATTTCGTGTGAATTTATGTACTGATATATGTAGTCTTTCTAAACTACGCGCCGAACAATTGTCGGTCTTGAAACACAACTCTAATAAATAAACTACCGTAGTACTATCACGAATTAAATTGATTAACAATTTAATAATTAATTGAGCCTCCCGATCAACTAAATTCATCTAGCATAACTCCTTTTTGAAGTTGGGATTTCAATTTCCGGTAGTGTATGTAACTTATGTCAGAATAAGGTACAATATATCTCATAAACTATTAGTGTTTTTATATGAAGTAAATTATTTAAGTGACCTATTTTAGATGCCTCACCTTGTATATTTTGTTCAATGAGATAGAAATTGATTTTAAATCTCGCGCGCGCGGGCGCATGTATCGATATTCAGTTTACATTCAAAGAAAATTTAACTCACAGTTTTCTTTTTAAAAAGCGTTCATTTACATAATGATGTTGTGTGACTAACAATATATATATTATATAACATTACAACTATGTATACATCTTTTTAAAATCCTTTACTCTTTATTTTTATCTTTGTACATAGCGCTAACCTTCTTCAAAAAATACATGCAATTACGTGGAGAAGAAGGTCAACAAGAAACTTATTATAATATGGCACGGGCGTTTCATCAAATTGGTTTACTACCGTCTGCGATTCATTTTTATAAGTTGGTCCTGAAGGAAAATCCAGGAGATTTAGTTAATCAACATGCGAATCTTTTGGATCTAAGAAAGGAAGCAGCGTTCAATTTGCATCTTATTTATCTACAATCTGAAAATTACCTTCTTGCTAGAATGTATCTTGAAAATTATATCACGATATAAATTAAAACTATTATTTTACAGAATTTCTGCTTTTTATATATGTATACAGATACACATGTGTTCGTGTGTGCATGACGTGTGAACGAATGTACAAATGTTTTTAATGTAGTATTATAAGTTATATATTAAAAAATTTTTTTATATAACCAAACACGTACTTTTTATACATATATTTAAAATTATTCTACTCTTTTAGTGCAATCTTCTGAAGAAATGCAACCGGAGTTTCTGGAATAGTTTCATTTTTTTATATATCTTTGCTATCGCTACATGGATACGTCTATTACATACACACTTATGTTTTGTTAAATAGTGTATATGTATGTGTGTATGTATATATATTATATACAGGGTGTTCATTTGAAAACTTTCCAGCTGATTATCTCGAAAAATATAAAAGATACAAAAAAACGTTAAAACACGTATTCCATAATTTCGAGGAGGAAAGAGAATGGCACTCTCAATTTTTTATTTGGGTGGCGTTTTCAACATCATTTGAAGGTCAAATTAATTTTTTTAAATGAAAATGTATATTTTTTATTACAGGATCTTATTCTACGTAAAAAAAGTAACTTTTGTAGGAAACATTTTTTTGTTCGATCACTATTTTAGGAGATATTTAAGAAAATGGCAAGGCATAGTTACTGCATAAAATTTCATCATTTATTATAACAAATGTTCAAAATGTTCTCCGTTGTTTGCTAAACAATAGTAAAAGCGATTCTGGAATTCTGAACGAACATTTTGGAAAGTATTTGCTGGAATAGCTCTACATTCCTGTATAATTCTTTGACGTAAATCGTTGATATTTTCCGGTGGAGTTTTATAAACAACGGATTTGAAGTGTCCCCATAAGAAAAAATTGAGTGGATCAGGAGATCTTGGTGGCTATTCGATGGCTCCTCTTCTACCAATCCATCTCTATGAGAATCGATTGTTTAGCCACTGTCGAATTTGTAACATATAATGTGGGGGAGCACCATCTTGTTGGAAGCACAAAAGTTCCTCATTTAACAACAATTCGCCATTTTCATCTTTTTGATTTTCAAGACTTTCAGTTATAAGTGCATCAATAACGTTGTCTAATAAATTTAAATAAAGGTTGCCATTCCGTTCGACTCAAAAACTTATCGGAAAATATCAACGATTTACGTTGTAACAGCCTAATTTTGTACTCGGACTAGCTCGTCGTTTATGCGGATTGTACAAAAAGGTTCGGCAGGAGGAGAGTTCGCTTCGGATCGGTATTTCGGTAGTAGCAACTAGAATAATGTACGCATAGGTGGAAAAACGAATATGATTTATTATAAATAAAAGGAAAAAAGAATGAAATGATACAAAATAAAATGAGATGAGAATATGAATTATTATGATGCACGGAATAAAGATAAAATAACGGAAATGATATATACAAAGAAACGCAGAAAGGTATGTTAATATACCTATGACGTGGTCGCACGGAAACGCGTTTTATAGAAATATAAATATGTACAGGTATTTTTGCGACAAATAAAACCGGACGGACGCGGATCGGCGATACAGACGCGAAGGCCTGATCTAGTGACGCAGAGTATTTACAATCGTGGGCGCAAGAGGTCCGCAGCTACCGGGACGTATCAATTTGGCGGTTCGTGCGCCGAGCGAGGCGGTCCCGCTGACGTACACAGTTTTTTTCACGTCGTCGCGGATTTGCGCTTGTAGCGGCGCGAGCCGGGAAAGGCGGCAACCGGTGTTCGCGATGGACGCGGGTACACGCCAGCAATCAAATCGTTTCCCCTAATGTCGCGGCTTTCGCGTACCGTATTAATTCGGTCGTACCGAATGGAGGTCCGATAATCGGCGGTCGGGAACGCCCGACGGGGGCAGAAAGCGCCCTACCCCGTTTCGTAAGCCGACTATCGGTATCAAAAGGTAGCGGAGATGCAAGGAAAAAAGGAAAAGGAAAATACGGGTGGATAGCGATGAATCGCGTGCCGGGGATCGCTACGGGCAACGTTGTGGAGTCGGCGACGGAATCGGATGCTATCGGTCAGACTGGAACGGTTTTCCGGCGGCCGGGAACGCCCGGCGGAGGCAGGGTACACCCTACCGCATGTTTCGTCGGAAACGAAACGTTCGTGCCTGTTGAGCGGATTCGAAGCAGCGGAGCAGAATCGAGGAGCTTGTGATCGGTTCGAGGTGCTGTCGGAATAAGCGCACGAGCCGCCTTCGGAACTGTATCTTATACCTAAGCCGCCAGTCCCGCTCACAAAGTTCCGGCCACCCTCGCCATTCTCCGTCGATCGGCTTCTCGCGGGAGAAGTTTTCCGATCGACGGTCCCCGATAGTGGCCGAAATCTCCCGACGAGACTGGCGGTTATAACGGCGGCTGCTGTACTTGCGAATTCCCGACATATAGGCCTATGTGACATGACCATTGTCTAGTGACGATGCCATTTAGGGGGGGCATCGTTACAACGTCAAAAAATTGTACAGGAATGTAGAGCTATTCCAGCAAATATTTTCCAAATGTTCATTCAGAGTTCCAGAATCGCCTTTATTATTGTTTAGCAAACAACGGAGAACATTTTGAACATTTGTTATAATAAATGATGAAATTTTATGCAGTAACTATGCCTTGCTATTTTCTTAAACATCTCTTAAAATAGTGATTGAACAAAAAAATGTTTTTTACAGAAGTTACTTGTTTTTTTTACGTAGAATAAGATTCTGTAATAAAAAATAGAGGAAAGTCACCGATACTGACATATAGGTCTCCTAAAGTGACACCCCCTTATTTCTCGTAAACTAATCTTTGCACTTCATTAATACTAATGAAAACATAATCTGTTTAGGTAATTAAAGAAGAAAAAACCCGTAATTCATATAGATGTGACTTGTTTCTATACAAAATCAGCTAAAAACGAATTCTACAAATGTGAAAACAAAATTCTTATGATGTTATTTTATATAAATTACGTAGTTTATGTAATAGTAGCTATATTAGTGATAATATTAAGTCCTTTTATATGTTTGTAGTTTTCTAAAACTATTTTATTTATATTTTCCTGTTTCTTATTTTTCTTATAATACGGTTTTAAAAATAAAATCGTTTATAGCCTAAACCGGCATGTCGTCACGTGTCCCATCACGACATATCGCGCATCGTAACATAACCTGCACACTGCGGTCACATGCGCATGCTCTGTGGCCATATACGCATATGTCAGTTTTGGGGCCCATTTTGTCTGACGCTCGTTTTCGCTTATTCGATAAAAAGGTTAATTATTGCAAAATTCTTAACAGTATTATAAAAATTGCTATAGAGCATCGATAGAAGACACTTTCCAGTTTACATTTATATCTCCAAAGATTTATTTTTTGCTTTTGTCTAAAAAATATAGTCTAAAAACAAAGTAGTATGTCGGTATCGCTGACCTTCCTCTATAAATTTCCATTTAAAAAAATTAATTTAACCTTTAAATGACGTTGAAAACGCCACCCAAATAAAAAATTGAGAGTGCCATTCTCTTTCCCCCTCGAAATTATGGAATACGTGTTTTAACGTTTTTTTGTATTGTTTATATTTTTTGAGATAATTAGTTGGAAAGTTTTCAAATGAATACTGTATATATATATACTCCTACACACACACACACACACACACACACACACACACACACACACACACATATATATATGTATATACTACGTGGGCAACTTGAAAAGTTTCTTAAGTCACACAGAGATAGTGCGCATATTGCAAAAAAGACATGTAATAGCCAAAAAATACATAATCTTTTATGCGGGTTCTGCAATTTTTTAGTCGGTAATCGGAAGTGTTTACTTGTAGTCTTAAGATGCTATCAGAGAGTCGTAATCGATGAATCTGTAATGGGCCTTCTACAATAAATCATAAGTCATAAATCGGAAGTAAGAAACTAAAAATTGACGACTGTGATTGTCCGATTTCTAACTTATAACTTATGATTTGTGACTTATGGCTTATTGTAGAAGGCCCATAAGACAGCCAACATTTAAGATACCGATTACTGATTTTTTTACTACTGACCAATCATGTAGCTTCGGTAGTCATCTTCTTCAGTTTGAAAAAATAGTACGATATTTTACGCATGTATCATTTAGTGAGTAATCTAGCTGTTGATTTGATTTCTCAATGAGAAATAATTTCAATTTCAGAACTGATTCCAACAAGCGGCACGGTGCGACACAGTGATCATCTCATCCTTGTTTAACATTGGCGAACAACAAGGATGTACTGATACACTGTCACACCGTGTCATGTGTGTCGCTTGTTGGAAGGCACCCTGCATTTAGCGTCTTTCCGAAAATTCAACTAACTTTTTTCCCATTTGTCGACCCAAACGACTTGCTATACAACTAGCGACTCATTGTAGATGCGAAAAATCCTAAGTAACCGACTTAGGTTAACTGGGCCTTCTACAATAAGCCGTAAGTCACAAATCATAAGTCATAAGCTAGAAATGGACTAATCACAGTCGTCAATTTTTAGTTTCTTACTTCCGATTTATGACTTATGGCTAAGAGTGCTTTCCAGCTACGAAACACAGTGTAACACTGTGTGACACAGTGTTACACAGTGTCGACTTGTAGCTGAAACGCTATTTAGTCACTTTACACTAATGTTTCTAATAGGAAAAGTATTCTGGTATATTTACTAATTCAAAAGAATATTTTGTCACCTTATTTGTTTCGTATACACTCATGCAATGTCGGAATATCATTCCTAGATAAATAAATAGTACAAAATGTAAAAATCTTGGTTATATTGGTAGCTATGAAGAGACGACACAGTTGAACAGCATTTTAGCTGTGTACGATTGTGTCGACTTGTGTCATAGTTGGAAAGCACCGTGTCGTACACTGTGTTACACAGTGTCTACTTGTGTCGTAGCTGGAAAGCACCCTTATTGTAGAAGGCCCATAAGACTTAAAACTACCGATTACCGACTAAAAACTCATTGTAGAACCCGCATTAT